TGAGAAAGCAACGGAATTGGAAACTTTTGAGTGAATAAACAGTCGTCTGCCAAAAGAAAAGCTCATGGAAGAGCCTCCCAAAGCGCCCGTATCCGCAAGTCCGTCTTGAGCCCCTCAACTAAGATTTTGCAAGGCGCGAAATTTCATATTTCGCGTTGGATTTCTAAGATATCTAGTCCACAACAATAACTTAGGGCGAACGATTTTCAACATGATCGGTTTACGCGGGATGTAGTTAACCGGGTTCGTGTCCTAAGTGGGTAAGTCTGTTTTCACACAAACAATGAACTTGTTGTGTAGGATTCCAACATTTATGGGATAAGTGCATTGAAAGTCTCATAACTTGTCACAAAAGTGCAATCGAGTCCTAAAAGTTGTCACGAAAGTACAATTCAGTCTTAAAATTTTCAAAATATGCAATCAATGGAAGGAAAGACTTAATTGGACCAATTTAACCAGTTTTAGTATTTGATTGCAATTTTTGAAAGTTTTATTACTCAATTGCACTTTTGTGACAAGTTCTAGGACTTAATTGCACATTGTAAAAGTTTTTTGACTCAATTGCACTTTCATGATAAATTTTAGGACTTTCAATGTACTCATCCCAACATTTATAGTGCATTTAGACACGTCTAATTAGATGGGGTTATAAATGTTATTCGAATTGACGTGGCATGTCCACTAGACACATTTAAACACGTGTATGGACACCTAAACCCACGTTAAACGTTCATATGAGGCATCACATCTTGCGCACATCAATCATGCCACGTCATATGTGTAGCTCGTTCAATGAACACCGCGTCAAGGTTTCAACGTGATGACACGAATAACAAATGGGCAATTAGACCTAAATTTGACATGACACTTTTATTACGCGGAATAATGGACGAGCCTAGATGCTCTATTACCATTAAGTTTTGCTTTTTTTTTGTCGAAAGAAAATTGTAGCCATTGCTTAAAAAGGATACATGGGAAGTACAACGACTTTCATGACAAAGAAAATCAAAGCAGAGCAAATCCCATAATACAACAAAACAAATCCAAATCCAAATCCAAAAAACAAAGAGAATCAAAAGAGCATCGGCAAGGTTAAGCACATACTCTTTCCATAAAAACGGATCTGTCAAGCAAAATAATCGGTGGCCGATCACTGGATCTTAAATCATCTTTCATGATGAGCACATGCCGGAAAGTCCTTCTCCAATAACTACGGTGTTGCCTGTTGGCGGTGCACGCCTAAATTCGGCTTCCTTTGCACCATCGCCAGACAGAGACAACTAAAATGGGTTGAAAAACCACAGATCTAACTCTTGGAAGAGCAAATCTTTGTGGTTCAGCAAGACGCCAAAACTCCTATGATCATCAATGAAATTGGAGATGGAGAACCTGTACAAAAACAGAGCACGGGGATATTGAATCCCCAAAGACATTATTAAATTCCCAAATCTAAACCGGGAGAGAAAAGCTCATAGATCTAGAACTAAATAAGGAGTGTTGACACTCTTGATTATAGAATTATATCGGAAAAAGAGAGCTCTCAGATTTAGATCGGGAGATAAGGATAAAAAAAACAAAAACACTCGAATAAAATCAACGGGAGGGGAGGGTGAGACTAGCTCAAACCCTCCCCCATGGCTGAAGCTCAAAGAAGACGATGGAGAGACAATAGAGAGAAAGACTTTTGGGCTTCTGTGAAACTAGTTTTTTGGGCACCATTAAGTTTTGTTGAAAATGTGTTTTGTTTAACACGTGCTAAACAATCGGGAGCACAATTTAAAATTTACCTATAAAATTTGTTTGCCAAGTCATGCGACAGATAGCAAATGAGTATTTAATCATATTCCTATTACACCAAATAAAAGTTGAGCGTATCACTTAATATACTAATTACATGATCCAACACTAAATATCAAGCGTAGGTTACGATTTCTAATGCGTTTAATCTTTCTCAATATCCTCATGATTCCATTTCAAATTCTAGGATTAAGTTGTCTCGATTATGTAAAGAGACGATTAGGAGAAAAAAGTAGTGCTTGAGTTTCGGATGGAACGGTTAATTAATAAAGGTTTTTTTTTTTCAAGCTTGCAATTGTTTTATCAAGTCATAGCTATATCAATCATATGAACAAATCTCTCTTTGCTTAGTTCTTCAAAAGTAACAAAATCTCTTCAATATCCGGGCCAAATTGCAAAATTGGCTCCTCACTTGCAATCAATTTTTCTACTACTTTACTGTACAAGAGCGAACCGATTACTTCGGTAAGTAATGGGATCCCATTCTCAAAGTCGATTATATCTTTTGCAGTTTCATCAAAACCAATAATTGGAAGATTTCTTCGCAGTGCCTGCTTTTTTGAAAAAGCTCAAGGGCTTGATCTTCTCATCATGTTGATGCCATAAACATGACGAAGTCTCGAGATGTGGACTAAGAATAGATTTGATACTGGTGTTGCAATTATCCTAGTTCCATAACCAAACCAATCAAGCTTTTCTCCTGCAACTTTGTGGAGATGCGACCGTACCTCGTATTCGGTGATATCTCTTTAAGAAAAAAAGTGGAATCCTTTCACCTCGTATTTGGTGATATCTCTTTAAGAAAAAAAGTGGAATCCTTTCGCAACACGATCACCCTCGTGTTCTCGCTTTAGGATATCGCACATCAACTTGCTTTGCAAAAACCAAACACCTCCATGTTGTTTCGTAGCTACTCCGATATCTGCAAGGAAACTACAACAGTCGAATCGAGATGAAATTTGCTCGTAAAAGTGGCAAGAGTCCCCATCCCCAATCTTCACTATGCACGGATCAGCTCAGCTCGTCCTTTCCAATGCGGGCGGCACAAACTTAATAGCCTTTTCGCCAAGACACGGACCCGTCATGTTTATGTTCTGGAAATCGCGCTCTTAATATAAGGGAGAATGAAAAAACATCATCATCTTGGCGTTCGCGGTCCTCTTTCCTTAGATTGAACTCCACGCATATAAAAATGGAATCCAGCCATTATGAAAAGAAGAACACGCCATGACCAATACGGATCCAAGGCTCCGACTTGGGCACACTCTTTTTAGAATAATTGGTCTAATTTTTTTTTCTTTTTTTTTATAAATACTAATGCAACAGCAAGGTGAATGAGAGGTCACCCTGATGGCTGCATAAGCCATACAATCCATATCTGTAGATAGAGTCTCCGGGATTCAAATCTTCAGGCCTCACCACCTTGGACATCAACTGCATCCATATTGTCATTACCTTCTCAATGATCTCCCTCACCATTTTGGCCCTTACTTCACGCACTTGGGCCAGTGCTTCAGGATAAAGCAACTGGGATTGTTACTGCGAGTCCCATATCCCTTAGATGTGAATATTGCGGGCCGCCTGGCCCAGCCCCGACCGCCAAGTCGAGGTCGCGAGGCTGGCCGGCAGGCGGCAAATTCAAGTGAATAAAATCCAGCTCTCCAGGCTTTAAAAACAGCAAAGCAGAGTCCGGATAAATGTAAGGGACGTGCTGCCCACCTTGATGGTGGGGGCTAAAATCAGTTGATGATGATACCGTGAACGCTCACACCACAAGATCAACAACAACAATGTAATGGTCTAAGTAAAACAGCGAGCCTATCATATTTAAGAGATGAAACGGTGAACAGGAAAGAGCAATCTAACAAAGGCAGACTCAATCCGAACATAAACATCCACTTAGACATAAGCATCCACTTGAGACATTCACGGTTCTAATCTTATTTACCAGACAGTACTGCAGTAGATCTAGAACATTGAAAAGAAAAACATCAGAGACTGAAACTCAACTCCCCCGGCCGCCTCCGTAAAGCCGCCGCCGCCGCCTCCTTCCTTCTTTCGTCTTGGACATCCTTCGCGTTCAAGTCAAGGCGGGAGGAGGATTGTTGAAATCATGGGTCAACCAAGCCTGTTGCGCTATGTAATAGCTTCCTTCTGGTTCTTGCAACAAACGGAACGACTGAGGGCAGAATCAGATACACGACTCTCAGTATGCAATACGATCGAATAAACGATTGATAGAGAAATTTGCAAAGAATTCACAAGAAATATAAACTTATTAAAAAGGGTAAAATTTCTTTAGGCATCAATTAGCGCTTTTTTCCGAAACTTTCATCGGAGCAACAACAATTCGGTTCACCATAAATCTTATAAACAGATGCTCCGCTAACAACAATGGACGAAGGGATCACCACCCAAGTAGGAGATATTCACTCAACAAAAACGCCATCTCATCCAAACCACCATCCTTCGACACTCAAAAAAGAAAAAAATTAAATAAAATATATCAATGGATGCTTCAACCGATACACAGAGAGAGAGAGAGAGAGAGAGAGAGGCCTGGTAGAAAAGGTAGGCGTCCGGCTTGCCGTCTAGCCACAAGTAGCCGTAGGCCAAGGCCAACACGCCGCCGCTTAGTTCGCAGGGCAAGCAGGCGATGCCGCTGATCTGCTGCTGGCACTGCTGAAGGGAGGCGAGCTTGGCGACGATAGCCTCCTTGCCCAGGATCATCTGGCCGCTGAAGTTCATCCCCGACTCTTCCCGGTACAGGTTCACCAAGTCCTCCCGGTTCGCGTCGAACGTCTTTAAGTAGTTCTCCACGAACCGCTTGGGCTCCGCCATCATCAGATCCATCTTTTCTCGGTTCCTCGCAAATTTCGCCTTCAGCAGATCCATCTTTTCTCGGTTGCTCGTCGTCATCTCTCCTTCTGGTTCTGTGTGCTTCACACCCACGCGATGCAGACGGCGGTAACCCAAGACGACAAGAGAGAAAAAGCGAGCCCTAGGGATTTCGAGAGTTCTCATTTTATTTGGAATCGTCGGGTCCACCCGACCCGACCGACCCGAAACCGGTCCTTTGGGTAGAAAGACTAAAAGGGCCCCCCTTTTCTCTTTTTTTCCAGTTCAGCCACTGTTCTTCTGCTCTGTTCGGACGCAGCAGTAGAGAGACATCCGGTAAGTTCTGCCTGCGGCTTCCTCTAGATTGACAATATTTCTTAAGAGAAGGCATGATTCTCGGTATTTGTTGGTGCTGCATTGCATTCTGTTGGCTTCGATTTGTCCTCCGTTCTATTTCCTTACCTTTGTCTATTTGCTAGCTTATGATATCGAAGTTTCGTTGCGTCCACTTAACTTTCTACGGCTCTACTGATATGAACAGACGGCACGTAATTCTTGCTGATGAGATGGGTCTTGGGTTAGTCTTTTCTCACGAGGAAAATTTGTGCGCTGAAATTGCTTCTTTGTTTTCCGTGTAAGCTGTCCTTTATGTTTTTTGCGGCAAAAAGTACTGCCTTTTTTTTTAGCATCTCCGTTTGAAGAAAATCCATACCCATTCTTAGTTGTAGCTCCACTTTCTACCTTGCGGTGACTACGAATTTCGCTTTCCCAAAAGCAAGCAAGAAGCTCAAGAAAATAAATCTGGCCAGCTGGTTATTGCAACCAAACAAGATAGCACAAAGCTCGATATCCCCTTAATATCATATGAGATGATTAATCTGGACGCGGCATCATTGAAGCCGGTACAGTGGGGATGCACGGTAAGATTTCGTTGGTTATTAAACTCATAAATAGTATCCAACATGCTGAAGGGCTTGACACGATGGGTTCTTTCATATTGTTGATGAAGGAACTAACTAGTTTGTCTCCCGTGCGAAGGAGCAAAATATCAAATTTCAACTTCTCGGTGAAAAATCTGATTTTTAAGTGGGGTGAGGATAATCTTTTTTTGTTCATATTCGCGATACACGTCATCATGTATGATGAGGCATTTTGTTGAAATTATGAGACTCTCTGTTTACTGCATTCTCTCGATTTTCTTTTTACCTAATATATCGATAGTTCTGCACTACGGGTCCTGTTTACTGGTTTTTCATGCGAGGGTCTATTTGAAGTGCCGGAAGAACGAATACTTCTCATGCTCTATGGGATCAACAATTGCCGGAGAAATTGGTGCATATGGCTATACACCCTTCCGTACAAATGGATACGCTTGCTGGTAAGAGAGCTGAAGTTGCTAGAAGCCTATATGAGGTCTTTTTCTGGGGATTGCTCTCCTTCGGGCCTGGAAACTGCTCTGCGGTCTGACTCACTAGACCGGCCTAATAGTAATTATGTTGACAGGAATGAAGAATACATGCATGTCATAGTTACGTATGATAGTTATATATCCCCGTTTTTGAAAGATCAACGGTTGGTCTTAATTTGTCCATCCTAATTTTTTGTTGAATTTTTGAACAGCATAGACTTGGTTAGACTAGAAGAAGAGGTATATCCTTCCAACCTCAATCCATGCTTATCTCATTTTCGTAGCATTGTGAAACCTTGTTCCTCAGACTTTCCTTGGCATTGGTGCCCACTTCTCTAATAAGGCTGGGTTCGGTGTTAGGCCTTGCAAGATTGATCTTCATTAACTTTAGTACGAAGATCTTTACGAACTTGTCTAGTACAGGGCAACTGAGAAGAGAATGCTTGGCCGAATCGATGCGTCTATCCAAAAAATCCTATTTCCTTCCAATTTTGCAATCTTCCCATTCTTTACCCGTGGCTCTCTCTTCTCCTAATTCCTTCCAAACCACTTCCTTCCTGCATGCTAGCTCCCAAGTAAAATCCCGAGTTGGATTCCATATTGACCGGTTTAGTGTGAGCTTGTCCATCGTCTTTTAAACCGTGCATATTTAGATTTGTCTCAAGGCTACGAAAACGAATAAAAAGAACAATTCTAGGAATTAAAGAAAAAGATGGAGAGGAGGACCTAGAGTTGTCAAAAAAAAGTTATGAAGCAATATACTGGTAGGATGAACGTTATATTGGAGGGAATCCCTGAACACAACCCAAAAAAGTGAGTCTCGGTCCAGTATTTAGGCAATTGGGCCCATGCATTTTTTTTTGTTGATCTGCAGATTTGGATCAACCAATAATGCCAGAAAAACTACGGATACAAAAATAGTTTGCATTACACAGTTACACTCGTTTTTATGTGACATCATTGAATTATTAGTATGAGATTGTCTAAAAGATAAACTGTCTCGCTCTCCTACCAAAACAAAAGATTATTAAATCATGTACCAAATAGTAGATCAGACATTTGGGCACCCTCCATGTGTAGGTATATGGATGACAGCAGCGTTTGTTCGTAATCTTGCTTATTTGGAGATTGGTATTTGAGGTCGTCCTATGATTTGGGTTTGGTAGTCTTCTAGAACCCTAACCAGCAAGAGCTGCCAATGCCCTATTTGCAGCCTATGCTGTCAATTGGTCAGTCAGCCTATCTGTATTCCGATATCTGCTAAAAAAGAATCTACACGATGCTCGCGTTTTTACATCCTATGTTTGTTGCAAGGATAAAATTCTCTTACTTGAGTATGTAGCTGCCCAGAGTTTAGACTTATTTAAGTGAGGATTCCCTGTTTTGACATCTTCTATGGAAATTTGCTTTCTGTTTTCTTCGAATATCGCTGGTACTTTGCGTGTGCATCTTATTTTTTACCACTGATGCTTTGGTATATTTTGGCCGAGATACAGAACCAAATGAAGATTATAAGTCAATTTTTCTCACTTCTGGTTGTTTGTTAAGTTCTCGTGTCAATATAACTTTTCTCGGGTCTCCAGTTTCAGTGGGGGAGATTTCAGAGCATGAACACTCTGATGCTCTTGTCTACCCTTGCATCAGTAATCTGAAAGTTAGTTCTGACGTCGAGTTGGGTTTAATTCTCTAAACTCCGATGCTCACTACTATTGCACGTGCTAATAGCCTTTCCATAGGTGTGTGTTCTGTTATGTACGTGTTTATTTAAATTACCTATTTTCGGTGCTCATCATTATCTTGCGTGTGCATACTACGATGAACGTGACAATTGAATTTCATTGTGCTTTGTACTAGGTAAAATCAACCTAACGGACGTGGTCACTCCCCACTGCTGCTCATCAACTGCCCATCCCAAAGCACCATGTTTAGTTTCCAAATTTCCAGGATTACTAAAGCTCTCCTCTCCATGACAGAGTGTTGTTGATATGATAAAGACTCATTTTAGGTAGAAAGGCGCAGTCCTTGACAACCAACGAATTCCTAACAATTCAGTTCCATCTCATGACGAACATTAGTTTCCATATGTAAAGCTTTTGCGGTGAGTGCATGGTTAATTTTCTCTTTTGTCCATGGTACTAGCCTTTGTCTGTTACCGGGAAGTGTTTCTTCACGACTCTTTAAGCTCGATGTGTATGGGTGCAGAGTACGGCAATGATCAGCTACAAAATGCCAGCCAGCTGATGATTTAAAAACCGTGAAGGACTACAGGGACTTGCTCACAGAATCTGTGTTCTTCATGCCCTAAACCAAAGTTTCTTCAAACAATCTCGGAGGAGAGATCCGCCCTATTTCTCATGTTCAGCTGATTCAGATTTCTTAGTTCGTCCACCAAAGGCATACATGACAGCAGCATTGTGCAAAGGAGGAGGAACCCTGGAGGCTCCAGAGTCAATTCTCACGGAGGTAAATTCATCTTGTTTTGATACAGTTCTTTGTTGTATATCCTTCTTCAACCACACTCATGCTAAAATAGATTTGGGCTTGAGGTAATAGGCGAGTACCTTTCAGCTCTTGAAAAGATGTGTGTCTGGCACCTTTAAGAATTTCTTTTCTACCAGAACCTTGATGAAAACAGGCTTTGATTGGAGAAAGGAGTTACGATAACTCCACCGGCATATAGCATGACATCACATGTGCGAACAAACGCATACTTGACAGGCATCTTCACGCCTTCTTATTTCCAGTTTGTTTTCAGTGTTCAGCAATAGGTTTGTCTATCGCTATCTATGCTCAACTCGTCCAAATTATGGCGGCATTGAGGTGGAGGGGTCCTCGACCTCGCCGTCGGTCCGGTCGCCATGTCTCCGGTGTTCTTCCTGACTCGGATCCATCTCCAATTGAGATCACCAGAATCTGTGATTCCTACCTCGGTTGGATATGCGAATGTAGTCAGTGTCGAAGTGTGGTCATGTGGTGAGTTGCATTGTTGTTTCAGGAAGAAAACAGGAATTCTTCCGCTGCCAAGCGTGCTAGAACCGACGGTAAACCATGTCATTGTTCTCCCTCTGGTATGACGATTTTTTTTTCCCTCTCGTTTTCGGTATTGGATAGTTTGAGCCAGTTCAGGACGAAGAAGAAAGACAATTGATCCAGAAAGAGGAAGTTTCTTCTATGAATTCGATGGAGTAACCTATGTTGTTTGCATGACTAGAATTCTGATTTTCACCTACTAAACATGCTTTCAAGAAAACTGGAAGTGGGGACAATAGTCGACAATGACGACATTATCGAAATCAAACAAGACCAAGAAGGAGGAAGTAGGAAACCCTCTTTCCTGGTTTGTTTAAGCCAGTCTAAAGGGGAATTCTGATGCATTTAGAAATTCAAAACATGCTTTCTCTGTGTTACTACGGTGGGTTTCAGCTTAACTCATGGTTAGCGGTAATTCTTATCGTTATTCCTCAGAGAATAGATAGGACATGCTCCCGCTTCCTTCCCTGTTCCTTTTAGATCTCCGTTTTGATATGTTGATTAGGTTAAAATTGCAGGTAGACGGAGGGAAGATGACTGGACTTGCCCTAGCCGCGAACTTTTCATTCCGGACAACTTGCAACATGCGTGATTGCGCTCAACCAAGGCCAGCCGATCATAACTCGGTAATATGTGACTGTTTGTGACGTAAATTCTCTTTATAGCTACATGCTCAGCTGATATTTGTGGCCACACTCGTGAACACAACACCAAGTATTATCGTGCTTGTTCCATTCTTCCTCCACCGAGATTTTCTATTCGACACTTGATATTCCATTGTTGTGATTCAATGCTAAATAGGTTGTTCGTGTTGCGTTTGTCGAATGCATTTTGTCTGAAGATACCTCCCTGCTAATTTTTGCTTGTTTAATTGATGGAATTAGTTATGCAAATTCATATACTAGCTTTGTGCATTATTAAATAGGAGATGGGGCTAGCGTGTCGTCTGTCTCTATGTCCCGATTAATTGTTCCCGTCTTTGTTGGAGATAAGTATCAAGATCCCCAAGACAATAACCTTTTCTGCTCATGTTTAATAAGCTCGCGTTTCCTTGGCTGGATCCACATCATTATCCAAGTGACATGCTTGGTCAATGGTTGCTGTTGCTCTTAGATATGCAGTCCGGGTTTTACTATATTTCATTCTAACACTGTTGATCTCCTTGTGAGTGTTTGGGGCAAAAATGTCCTGAAATTATGTTTCGGCCGCCTTTTTCTAATCAAAAGGCAGCTCAAAGAGCCCGTGGGTATCTGGATTACGTGGTATCAAGGTGGTATGGGATAGCATTGCAGGCATAAGAATTCTTTGCTCGGAATTTTAGTTGCTAATCGAAAGATATGATAACATGGAGGCTTGTATGCTTAGTAGGCCACATTCCAAGGTGAAAAGCCAATGCGCGTGATTAGTGACACATTTTCTATTGTCGAGATGATCAGTGTTGCTATTCGGCTTAGTTTATGTTTGCACTGCCGTCTTTTGGCAGTATAATAATCGCAATGTGATGTTGCTGAGTTTTTTTTTTTTTTGTCTTCTTTTCTTTTTTTCCTCAGAAGTTTGCGACCAAGCCAGTGCAGCCCCCTCAGAGTTACTCATGGCCATCCCCATATATGGGTGTTGGGGGGCCTTCCTCAATGTATGTGGGAGTGCCACCATAGGGTTCTCTCTTTAATGGTTCCTCAATACCACCATATGACGTCCCATTTTCTGGGGGCTTGGCATATTATTACAACCATGGCAGTCGCCTTTCCGCTGGTAGTCCTTGTAGATGGCTTCCTCTATCTGGAGCGGCACCTTATTCGAGTGGATCGATGATTGGAAATGGTAATGATTATTTTGATTTTGCCATGACTTTGGTTGTTGTAGTGACTGCTTGGTGGCAATTAGGATTTTAGGTCTTGAATGGTTAAAAGATCCTTGCCTCTAAATTATATGTGGTTGTTTTCTAATACTGTTTGGCCTGAGTATTTTGGTTTTCATCGTTCACGTTGTATATCTTTTGCTGAAAGA